TGCATAGAAAATCACTTGTTAGCCTTGGGAACCCATTTGAGACGGAGTTCCTAGTAAGCAGATAACAAAGTGATAAGAAAAAAATTTGTTCAGTGAGGCAGACTAGTTTTCTTCAACTTAGGACCAGAGGCAAGACGAGGTCCCTTCTTTTGTCTGTTCCTTTGTTTGGAATAATTTGAGGAACTTTCTTGAGTTCTCTTCTAAGTTGGGCATTCCTTCTTCAGATGACCATGTCGCCCGCAATGCAAATATAGCAGATTGTCAACAACAACATTTTTGATGTGAGGATTGTATGGGGAATCTATCTTCTCACAACCCAACCCTCTTCTACTATTGTTACCCTGACTGATTACATTTGTAAGCATTTTAGAGGAAGTGGTCCATTTGATGGATTTGTTCAGTTCCTCTTTTACACGGACCAAGTCCCTCTCCAATACCAGATTTCTTTCTAAGGCCAAGTTCATCTTCATTTCAACAGTGTGCAACTTATTTTCAAGCTCCAACTGCAAGCTGTTGGCCTTGTTCTTTCCTTTAGATGTTGTAGTCGTCACCCCTTTTGTCTTTTCCTTTAGTTCTAGATTTTCAGTTTCCAGAACTATCAATTGTTCTTCCATAACAGACATTTGGCCAACCAAGGCTACCTTTTCTTCATGAAGGATATTTAGGTTGTTGTTCGTCGGATCCTTTTTAGTTGTTAACTCAATTATAGAGTCAATCAAAGCAACGACTAGATTCCTCAACCTTTTGACAGAATAAACATGCAAATTTTGTTTAAGGTCAGAATGGGTTACCTCTTCTTTAGATTCTTCACCATCAGATTTTGCCACAAAGGCAAAAATTTCATTGAAGCTAACATCATCATCTTTCACTGCAAGCATGGAAGCATCTTCAGGATGGTCAGACTCTTCTGAGTCACTTGAGGTGTCTTTACAGACTGCAAGGGCCTTCTTCAAACCATAGTATGCAACTGGTTTTCTTCGACTCTTATCAGGAACGAGGTTCCTTCTCTTTTCCTTTTCTCCTTCAGCCTTGACATAGTCTTTGTATTCAAGTTTGTGCATGAGGCAATCTCTGATGAAATGCCCTGGCTTTCCACACTTGTGGCAAAAATCGTTTGCATTTGCAGCCCTTCTAGAGTTCCCTCCTTTTTGAAGACCTTCATATTTCGTCACTATTTTTTGAAATTTCTTAGTGAGGTATGCCATGTCCTCATCTTCATCAGAGGTTTGACATGATGTCACTTTAAGAGCTAGTGACTTGTCTCGGACCTGGTCCCTTCTTTTGTTTTTGCCTTTGAGAGTGAGAGCGTCCATTCTTTTGTGCATCTCATGAACTTGAAGATGTTCAAATAGAGCATCCAACGACAATACTTCAGGATCCTATGCCTCATAGACAATATCAAGTTCATCAGTCCAAGATCTGGGAAGAATCTCCAGTATCTTAGTAACCTGCTTCCACGCAGTGAGGGGTTTTTCTAAGAGCATGAGCTCATTTGTAATGGTGCAGAATTTAGTACGCATTTCATGAATAGATTCACCTTCTTCCAAGGTGAAGCTTTCAAACTGAGTGGTTAAGAGATCTAACTTAGATTTCTTTGTTTGCTCAGTACATTCATACACTATTCTCAAGCGATTCCAGACTTCCTTGGCTAATTCACAAGTTGAAATCAGATCATATTCATTTGCTCGGATTCCACACACTAAGAGCTTTCTAGCCTTGTAATTTTTCTCAACTTCCCTGTTGTCAAAGTCGTTGTATTGCTGTTGGGTTTTAAGAACAACCCTTGTGACATCCCTATCTTTTACATCTATAGTTGGCACATAGGGACCCTCACAAATAACATCCCACAGCTCACAATCTTCAGCCATTATATAGTCAAATATGCACTTTTTCCACCACATATAGTACTGACCATCAAATAAAGGTGTCTTCATTGGAGTCCAACCTTCTTGCAAGCCTAGTGGAGCAGCAATTCTTCGCAGGAATATCTCTCTTGGTGTTAACCAGATAGAGAGACCAAGCTCTGATACCAATTGCTGGAATATATATGTCCACTATCAGTTAACGGACCAGGTCCTTTGACTCAACAAGAACAGTAACTAAAGTAAAACGAGAGAAAATAAATGGCACAATGTAAATAGGGCACATTGATTTTACGTGAAAACCTCCTTGCTCAAGGGAGAAAAACCACGACATGTCGCACAAGATTTTCAATTGTTTTCACTAATCTTCTCAAGCAAAAGGGAAAGATTACAACCACCAAGAGATTAAACACTTAATCTCAATACTAAATAATACGCTTATTACTTACTGAGCCTAAGTAGATACCACACTGCCCACTAAGTCATCCCACCCTAGATAACTTAAACTTTAACTAAGCAAATACAACATTTCCCACTATATCAGCTTGCTCCTAGATGACTTAGACTTTGACTAAGTAGATACAACACTGCCCACTAAATTAGTTAACCTAAACCGACTTAGACTTTTCGATGAACAGAACAAAGATCTAATTCCTTTATAACACAGGAATAGATTTACAATGTAAGCACATAAGAAACAAAACTCAAAATACAACAAAGATTCTTCAACACTCTATCAGGTCCCTTTGTTGAGTTGGGCAGTGTTCTTCCTTGAAGATGGCCTTCTTTTCAAGCTTATGAATTTCAGAGAAAATCCAATTACTTTTTGTTTGTCAAATCTTGGGTTTGTGTTTGGAGAAGAGACTATTATCAAGATGGACAGAAACCCTTGGGACAAGGCCATTGGCTGAGAGCCTATTGTTTTCAAAGGTTGTGCACCAACTACATCAGAGTTGGCAGCCTTTTGACAACTGTCTTTTCGTCCTTTTCTCGTACGCAAAATTTTCGGGACCAGGTCCCTTGCTGCGTTCTTTGATGCTTGAGTTCTTGAAAAAGACTTGCTAGCTCTCTCTCTTCTCGAATGAATACTATTGTTTGTTTATTGTTGTATATATCAATTACCAACAAGGGTTTTGACCACTTAAACAAACAACTTGGCCCGCCCTTCCAATTGGTGAAGTACGCTGCATATCTCACCAACCAACCTGACTAGACAGCTGTAAAGATAACTTTACAGTTGTGCACTACTTTGAATCTGGACGGAAGTACTCTGCCAAGGACCGGGTCCCTACATTTGTGAGGATCATCAAAACACTAGAATAGAACAACTTATTTATATTCAGAATAATATATTCTCAACCCAAAATCTCTCACGTTTACTGAGGGGTTTAATCCCCTGCACACAAGAGAACCTTTTTTTAAATCCCTCGATGAAAATCTTGCCTTGACCACTATTGTCTTCAAATCTATCTTCTTTCCTGGTGCTCGATCATGTATCATTATTTTCTGATAAATGATAAAAATTTATGCAGTTGCAGACGTTGAACCACTAGTTATTTACAATACACTGTTGAATTGTATTTGGATATTGCCTTGTATCATTTTAATTTTAAGAGTTGCTGACAGACTTGTTTTATTAGACCACGAGGAATGTTTGGGCATCTGGTGTAGATACAATTAGCAATTTGCCTTGTAATGTTCTCGATGGAATTCTAGGGTGCTTTCCTTGGAAAGATGCAGTGAAGATCAATATCTTGTCAAATGACTGGAGGTACAAATGGATAACACGTCAAGAACTTGATTTTTATGATGCAATTTTCAAGTCTTTCAAACAACATGAAGAATCCAAGAGAATCATTTACCAAGTTCTATTAGTCCATAAAGGACCAATACTGAAGTTTAGACTCTGTAGGATTACGAGTTGTCCTGATATTTATCATTGGATGCATTTTTTGTCGAAAATAAATGTCCAGGAAATCACCCTTCATGTAAGATTTGGAAATCATTTACGTCATCACCTTTTTGCATTTGGGCAACTAAGGTATTTGGAACTTCAAGATTGCTTGTTCCACCCTCCACGCGGTTTCAAAGTGTTTAAGAAGCTTATTAATCTCGATCTTCTGCATGTCATTTTTGTTCCATGAATATTTACAAATATCATCTCGAAAATCCCGTTGCTTGAACGATTGAGGTTGTGTTCTTGCACAAACTTTGACACCCTTGAAATTGGCCGGTAATCTCAAATTCTTTGAGTTTATTGGAGAAACAAAATCCATTTCCTTCAAGAACACTCCTATGCTTGAAAAAGTTACTTTGTCTTTCATCGGATTACGACTTTTGATTGATACATCTCCTTTTTCCTCCAATCTAACAAAGTTCTTTCATTACATGCCTTCCTGGAACTGAATCTATGCGGTTCAATATTAGAGGTAATGTACATTTGTGATTTTCTACCTATCATAACCAAATGATGAATCTGATGGGTATCTTAAAGTATTTTTTGACTTGCTTCTAGTACTTGATGGAGGGAGGTTAGCTAGAGAGTTTCCCGACTGCTCTGGACAATGTCAAATCTCTTAATTTTTCAGGTGCTGTTTACTTGATTACAAGCTGTCCTAAATTACAAGATCTTACAATTGAATTTGTTAGCACTCTTTTTTTTTTTTTTTTTTTCATTAAGGTGATTGAATATGGTTTCTTATTCATCCGAACTCGCCTAACTAACCGTTCCTCAAATATTCTTTAGTACCAAGTGTGGGTGTGGGATATTGTTGAACCTGTTGTACAGTTTCTACGAGCCCAATCATCCTCAAGCGGTGCTGTGAAGCTTCAAAGAGTTCAAGTGAACATGTTTACTGGTCTCGAGATGGAAATGCAGTTTATGAAGTTTATATTGGCATCTTCACCTATACTAGAGGAGATCTTCATTTGGAATTGTAAGTGTTTCCTTTTTCGTTCGTGTAAACAAATGATGGATGAGATGAAAGAGTTCTGCAGAGCATCACCCAATGTTGAATTCACATTTGAAGAAATCGATATGGAAGGTGGATCATATGAACATGAAGAACTCATGGAAGTGCCATGATTTTGCTAACATATTATTTTTTGTAGCACTTAGTTTGCCTGTTATGCCCTGTCTTGTCTGTCTAATATTATGCAGTATGTATATATGTGCTTGGCTAAGTTTCAACTGTTTCAAGAACTATGACTCTACTTGTAATGGTCACTGTATTATTATGTTATTCCCATTTTGGCCCCGGTGTTATACAATTATGCATATTTGATCTTTAATTAACTTATAGTTTTTGTCTATTATATTATTGTTTAGTCGTCGAAACTTGAACAAAATCTGGCTAGTAAGTGATATATGCGTATAGATAAGTGATTTTTTTTTTCGGTTTAAAAGAAATGATGAAAAGACTACTTTATTGTATAATTTTTAGTACTTTGATTGACTATTTGAACAATGACCTTTAATTTTTTGATAGAAAACTTGATTATTTGTTTACTTAATCATTAAGTACCTACTTTTATATAACTTATGAAGATATATAAATAGTACTATAATTTTAAAATCTTTTTCATCGACTTTAATAACATATAAATCAATTTTATCAATGATAATTAAGGTGGAGTGACAAGAATAAAATAAAATAATTAAATAATGAGAAAAAAATATTAAGGTAACATGCAATTGCACTAAATCAGTCGTTACACATAAAATGAGATTTTGGTTGTTATTTTTGTCGATAAATTAATCGACACAATTCAATAAAATTAAATAACAATCAAAACAGATGATATTTAGACGGACAACACCATACAATACAACGACAACAACCATCCAAGCAAGGTATTGAAATTCTAATTTTTTCACCTACTACTGGACCGATGGCATGAATTAATTGTGTCACTGAGTTATATTTGGTGGAACCCGTAAATTACGTAAAAGTTTTATTACAAATTAGTTATATTAATCATGTTCATGGTATTCTGTCTGTCTCATATTAGTTGATCGTTATACTAAAAAATAGTTGTCTCATATTAGTTGAACTTGATCACCTTACTAAATCAAGAAAAGATTAATTAAATTTTCCTACATTACCTTTCCTATTAATTCTTTTTGAAAGTATTTTATATTTATTTGCAAAATTCCCAAACGGAGGGAGTATAGATGTCTAAGTTCATGGCACCAAATATTTTAACTAATATATATACAGCACCAACCAACAACATATTTCTACATTGAAAAACTTATAACGGTATATTTTGTTCTCTCCATCATTTATTCTTCTTTACATTTTTGGTAAGACTTTTACTGAATGAATCTTGCATCATCATTTTCTTGAGAATACTATCAATCTCTTATTCTTAGTTTTTGAGAGATCTAAATATGGGTTTCAATTATAGCTACAGATCTTCCCATAGATCTACTCGATTTATTTTTCAGTAGATGTTGTGAATAATTGATAAATACAGGTATACAGAGGTGTTGATATAGTCACACCTAGAAATATGTGGACTATATCAAGACCTTTGTACACTTGTATTCTGTCGCTATTCACAACCTCTGTTGAAAAATGATTGACTAGATCTACGAAGAATCTAGATTTTTAATGCTTGTTGCACCCATAACTATCACCACCTTATCCTTTGATCAGACAGGGAATATACGAAGGAATCCATAGTTAGATTCTCTCAAAAACTAGTAAGAGGTTGATCTTGTTTGCGAGAAACAAATGAGGCAATATTCATAATTTTAAAGTTGCAAATTTGTAAAGAAGAAAATTGATGAAACAAAGAGACTGTGAAATTGTTTCCTTTATCCCTAATCACAAACCAACCATAGAAGATAAGATCTAGTGATTTTTATTCTCCTCGTGATGGTAGAAGACGTATTTTTTATTTAAATTTTTCAGGTTATTAATATTGAGCTCATTATATCTTTTAAAATTTAAATTATGATTCAAATTTACTATTTCTTTCAATGTTAATACATTTTTATACATAAGTATCAGTATTGAACTCATTTTATCTTTAAACAATGATTCAGATCTACTGTTTATTCAAATATTGATAAATTTTTAATTCATAAGTTTATATTGTGTTGATCATAAACCTAATGCTTCATGTTGCATTAAATCAATGAACTTATGATATTTGTTCTTGCATATATGCTTTATGATAAATCATAATTAGTTAACATATATTTTAATATTATTTAATTAGTTAACATATATTTTAATATTATTTAATTTTATGATTTAATTATAATAAATCCATACCTAATTTGGTGTGAACATGGAATGTTGATAATTGTTTAACATAATAGAAGAAATTAAAGGCATTAATTAGGAAAGTTCCTTTCTTTCTAAAAGTGTGCCCTAAATTTCAAAGTGGGGCCCATCTTGCATGGAAAAGTAGTTCCTCTTTCTAGAAAAGTGTTTTTCATTTTCTTAAATATATTATAGTATTTGGTAATTGCTAACTCTCCTAGATGTATTGATGATCTCCTCACATGTCCCTGCAGAGTATGCTCGTCCAGTGTCAATATGATGTACAACTATAAAAGTTATCCGTGTCAGGAAGTTGGTGAAGCTGCAGAGTACTCTACCAATCAGAAGCGACGAGGCTGTTTGAACATTAGACAATAATTCTTCTTGTCTAAAAAATTCAACTTGCAAACACAAAGAGATTCATTCATTCAAAAAGAGAGATATTTCAAGCTTCAAAACAGCAGGAACCTAATCGATTGCTTCAAGTGCTTCCTGTACCATCTGTTACTTTGTTTGCTTGTAATCGTGTTTATATTGTGTAGGATTCGTTTCACTTGTGAAAGAAACGTTTCAATCTTGTGTGAATCATTGTAAGAACTAGGTTAAGGGTAACTTAGTTTCTTACTCTAAAGTTTATATTAATCGGTTAGGATTAGTATAGTGGGCAGTGTTGTATCTGCTCTGGCTCAGCTAAGTGATAAGAGGTATTGCTTAGTGTGGAGATTAGCATGCTAATCTCATTTTGTAAACTGACTTTTACTTTTAATTGAAGAAGATTAGTGGAAGCAGTTTGAAAAGTCCTGTTGAGAACAGGTCGTGGTTTTACTCCCTTGATCAAGGAGGTTTCCACGTAAAGTTGATTGTCAATCTTTACTTTCAGTATTTGTTCTTTACTGATTATTACTGTAACTGTGTTGAGGACCTGATCCCATCTACATAGGTGGACGCATACATTCCAACAATATTTATTTTAATGAAGTGAATAAATAAAAAAATAAAAAATTAATCATGTAGCCCATCCCACAAAAACACGACCAAATTTTAGAAGAGTTGGAATCGTGTGATATTATAAGCCTAAAGAAGTTTTTTTTAATATTATATGTAGATGAAACATAATTTATTTTTTTATAAAAATTCCTTATCTTTCAATTTAAATTAAGTTAAATCAGTTAACTGGGTAAATATTGTTTTAAAATTGGAAAATATTATATGGAATAGGTTCATTTTTTTGTTAAATGATATTGTTTACCTCAACTTTCAATTTGTTAGTGAGAGGTTCGTTTTCTCATATTGTAATTTATTTTGTGATTTCTAGCTAAATTTATTACTTTCTTCTATCTTAATTTATGTGCATCATTTAACTTGGTATGATACTTAAGTAATTTGTATTCTAAAACAACCTTTATATATTTTCGTGGGTTTGTATAAATCATATTTTATTATAGGTAAAAAAAGGACTTCTAAAGTTAAATTTAATTTTTATTTATAGTAAAATGACATTTTCATTGTAATAAGTAGGCGCATGGTGCCCGTGGTTAAGGATTGAATTTTTGCCTTCCGGGTCCCAAGTTCGATTCTCTATTAGCTCTTTTTTTTTTAAAACAAAACATTTTCATTGGAATGAACTAAAAAAGACATAGGGCAACATATATAATTTGAGACACAAGAATTAATGAATTTTATTATTATTATTATTGTAATGTTGTGGGTTCAACTAGTGCATTGTTATTAGTTAAAGACGTAGACATTTTTTTAAAAACAAATCAAAATAATTAATTTTCAAAATTGAATGTGAAATATCACATGAGAGTGTTCTTTTTTGGCCTACTTTCTAATTTTCGCATTTTATTACAAGAAGAGTGAAGTCATTAATCATATCACTTGGCAGTATTGGGGGTATTTGAGGGTGACAATAACACCTATGTGTGTTAATTGTACGTTTGGGCTGGTTATTTTATAAAATTTATATTCTATTAATATATTCAGTATATAAGTGTTTATTATCATTTGAACCATATATTGTATATAATAATTTTATTATAAGAACAGATAATACACAAGTAAAATGGTGGCTAACAAGAAAAATACAAGATTTGGTAACAACAAAAGAAATAAGGAGATTGGTATTAAATATATTAAATTTCACATTTACAATTGAGGTAATAAAAACTGATAAGAATGTTATTGCAGATTACTTATCAAGACAAAGCTACTCAGACTGAGAACGAAAATACAATGGAAGAGATACTCAAAGTCATAACTACACTTTGTATAAAAGTGGATAGTATGGACAACGAGATACAAAAGCTAAAGACTAATGAAGATAATCTGAAGTCTAAAGCTAGTCAGCAGCATGACTATAAAAATGCGGAGCTACGTCGATCGGAAGACGGAAAAAACCCAGAGCTAAAAGGAGACGATGGGAAACTCCTTAAAACCCATAACATTTGTTTAAATATAGCTGCAGGTACAAGCAAACGAGTTAGTGAAAAACAAAAGAATTCAAACTTAAACCAGCTATTCGAAAAACCATTTACTCCAAGGCTAACACCAAAAAACATATTAACTATAGAACCACAAACTTCTACATATGCGGATAGCCTACACCATGATAAAAGAACATACAACCATATTACGCGAACCTATATAGAAAATATATACAAAATCCAAACATTTTTAAACCTTAACCCAAGATCTACTACAACCCAAGAACCCAACCAAGATTATTTAACCCAAAAATTACAAGGTTATAATAAACTGATTGCACAACCGAAAACTAACTGGAGAAATTATTGGAGTGACCAAGAACTGCTTCAAGTTTCGGCATGAGATATATGATGGTTTGAATAATAGTTGAAGCTGGGTAAGTAAAGGATCGCGTGTAATCGATATTGGTCGTGATTCAATAG